GTAATAGATCCTCATAAGAGTTCTAGAAAATTCCTGCGATTTTATTAGAGAATCAATCCCAAATACTGTTTTGTGTTTAATGCAATATTTGTATTTCCAAAAGAAAGATTTATCTTGAAATATGTTCTATTTATTAGTCACATGTATATGTTTAATTGGACCCTAAAATTAAGGCTTTCAAAATTTCAGACTGATTTTCAGTTTTTGGAACTCACACTCATACCAATTCAATATAGCACGTGGCTGAAAACATACAGAGCCAGACAAAAGCTTCACTGTGCACCGCGGCAGATCTGCAACACACAATCTAGGAATTGGCACCCCCAGGTTTAAGGACTAACTTTGCTCAAACTTGTAAGAATTTGGACAAGGCATTTAACCTAAATTTTCCTCATCTATGAAAAAGAATGACCAGAAATGGTTGTTGCAATGCACAAATTAAAATGTAGAGCTGATACACAAAATGAGAGCCTCTATAAACTCTAATCTGTAACTTCACAAAACCCACAAGGGGCATCGTCTGAGTTTTATAGGCGAAGAAAGCTCCACGGCCTGGCACCCGAGCAGGCAGACAGGCAGCGGTGGTGCCAAGGCCCTGGGTCTGTCGTCTGACTCTCGGACACCGCGAGCGGGAGTCTGCAGGCGGCTCCATGTCCGGGGACGTGGACCAGACACTGGGAAAAGGTGCCTAACAGCCCATGTGCAGAGGCTCCCGGCTCACAGTTCAGGACGGTCCCCCCTCCGCCCCATGAGAGCTGACTTCCTAATGCTGCATGAGCAAGTGTGCAAAAGGCAGAGCAGGACTAACCGTTTGTAACAAGCTTTCAAGCCCCCAGCACAGCAGACACACAGTGGGAGGGCTGTATCTGGAGTAAGTGAAGTAAACCCATTAAGTACGCTCACTTACCAACCCCAACCAGGCCCAGTAAGGAAAATTCACCCCACGGCACCTGTGAGGACTGCGCCACACACACAACCCACAGCCACCACCCAAGAGCGCGGGGCCTTACTGGCTGCCGGTCTCGTCCTTCTTGGAACCTGCACCTCGACTTCTGTGCTCACCATTCTGTCGGGAAAGATTCCAGAACCACTCATTAGTACAGCACAACAAATCAGCGATAGTGACGCCTGCAAGACAAGCGGGGCTCAGTCCTAGCAGTGTCTCTGCTGCGGCGTGTCTCACAATGATGGTTCTCAGCTTTAGTAAGGTGTCGCCCTAAGTAAGGGAGGTGAATAAGGGTGCACTGAGAGTGACTGTCACCTCAGTGACATTACCTGAGCAGGAGAAATTTATACTTCTCGATGTCACATTATTTTCAGAAAATCTGACTAGCTCCTTGTACTGCTTCAAGTTACAAACTTTCAAACACATGGAAGATGGCTATGTCACAAAGCCACATACTTAGAGGAGAACACCTAAAGGGCCAGGGTCCCCAGGTGTGTCGGCGTTAGACGGTCTGTCGCCATGAGCACCTCACAGAGCTGGGTGAGGCCACCGGCTGGGAGCCCAGGAGCAGGGCGGGCAGGTACCTTGGCCGCCCTCCTCCACTGCTCCTCCCTCCACGGCCTGTCCTTTCTGTCCGCGTGGCCCCGGAGCCGCTCGTCCTCAGAAGGAAAGCCCTCCGTAAGCCGCCGGTCTCTCCGCCGCTCCTCCCCGCCCCTGTCAGACAGTGAGTGGCTGCTGTCTTTCGCGCTCTTGTCTCTCCTCTCCCTGGCGTGGCTCTTTTCTCGGCGCTTCCTCTCCTCCTGCCACCTGTGCGGTCTCTCGCCCTCCTCTTGGTACAGCCAGTACTTGAGAGGGCTGTCCCTGCTGTCGCCATACCGCAACTGGAGCGTGACATGGAAACTGAGCATGAGGACTGGGAGCGGCTGCCCCTCACTCCCTGCCCAGGGTGCTGCTGAACTGCCCGAGGACGGCGGGGGCCTCGTCCCAGTCTTCCCAGCGCACACCCTCTCCCACAGGACATGTCTGGGACTTGCCGGCTTCTGTGGGCTCCCCTCCCAACAGTGCGTCCCCAGGTCCCTCGGTCTCCTGGGCAGTTTGCACGTCTGCCCCCTCCCCACAGGGAGATCCTTAAAACCAGCACCATCGCTACGTCATCTCTGCATCCCTCAACTGCCTTGGAGCCCAGTGACAACTATGACGTCATCACAAGGTGGGTAAGCGTGGACCAGCGCTGGA